GGCTTTCATCAAACCCGCAGTAGTCTTCTCATTCACGATGTTAAACGCGACATTACGTGCCAACGTCAGCCGAATAACACCCAACTCTCGTCTATCCAGCAATTCCCAATCAGTTTGCTTCATCGTCTCTGGCTTCTCCCCAAACAATGACAAGTGCAGTTTCATCTGATATAGATTATCCTCAATCTGCATCTTCCAGAAACCAAAATCTTTCCCATCAAATCTGTCGATTTTCACTTCCTTCTTCTATCGCCATCGATTCGCTTCAACTCAGCTAAGCCAGGCTCTGATACCAATTGTTTCGAAAGCCAAGCGATCGAACAATAAAATTGACAGAATAAGAAAATAAATCGGACACCAGATTTACGTGGTTCGGTCGTAGTGACCTACATCCACGGGGAGAGCAGCACGGAATTCCACTATAGATCAAGCGATACAACGGAGATTACAACCACACTCGAGTCACCCAAACACTCTCAGTGTTTACCAAGCCCCAATTACACCTAATAACTTACGCAGTGTTTAGCCCTACAATTCCTCACGAAATAATCTCTCAATCTCGCAAAAGAATTATACACAAATCTTAACACAAGATTTAATTGCTATGAATACTTGAACTCTTGGTGTAATTTCACGAATAAAATCACGAACCCACAACCAAGCACTCACTTGCGGAACGGCGCTTCAAGAAGTCTTCTTCGTCAACAATAGCGAACCAAGACCTCTGTGCGGCCAAAAACAGAACAGCCCGTATTTATGCTTAGGTTCCACGGTCAATGTGGACTCCACGCAAATATACTTATTTCCTTTTCCGAATCCAACTTTCTCTGACACACGTGGTTAGAAGTTCACAATTTCCTCTTTCACAGTCAAAGTCTTCCAGGCCAACGTTGGACTCAATCCTGCTGATTTCTTCCCGACTTTGATAGATAATCGTTATCTTTTATTTTGCACCCATGTTGACCGAGTCAAAGAACAACATAAAATTCATGTGGACTTTCCAGTTTGAGAACAAGGACTCCAACGTGCATTAGGAAAGTGAATTTCAAATATTTGCTTTTTGCTCGATTTCGGAGATTCGCAAAATATCCAATTCGGAATATTTAGATTTTCGCTTTAGGCTTAAACTCGAGACATATATTTAACATCTAACGACTTCATAAAATTTAGAAAATAGGTTTGTGGCTCGACTATTGTTGCCGCGTTTCGCACGATATTCAAATGCCAAACGACTTCATATAATTTAGAAAAATGTTAGCATGCTTAGGAGATAAATATTTTTACTTAAACTATTTTACTTTCCTGAAATATATATAAATCTCAATTTTCAGGGCGCGTGATCTTAATTAGCATCCCAAGATATGAAATTATGTCGATGAAAATGAAATTATGAAAACCACTTTTATCGTCTTCTTTTTATTTTTATTTTGTATAGTTGGTTAATTAATCACGCAGTCTAGAGATTCGGCCGAGTCAAAACTCGCAGTGAAACGAGATTGTATACCAATTCACATGTGCATCGGGAGGAGGATTTCTTCTTCATATTCAGACGACAAACCTGAAGATGGTTCCCTAGCATTAGTGAGGGCACAACAAAGGAAGACTACTAGGCATTCAAAGCGCATAGAAAGAGAGGAGACAGATTCAAAGGTGTCGATTGAGGAATCAAAGGCAGTCATTGAAAACATTGATGACTAATGCCCTTGTACACAACTCAAGGGTGTCCTTAGATGCACCTGCTAAGCAAAAGGAGGCAACCAAAGTGGAGTTCATGGATGCTATGGCACAAGAAGATTCGACCAGAATGTTCATATGTCCTCACATTGGTGTCGCATTGACCGCGCTGATCAAACTCAAGAATAGTGGGGGTCATTGCGCTCACAGATAGGACAGTTCATGTAGATGCTATGGCCAATGACAATTTATACTTCTCTCTGTGTGCACATCACATAGCCTTGACTCAAGACAAGTTTTAGCCAAAGAACTAAATCTAGAACAAATTCGTGCAAACATCTTAGGTATCGCCTTTTTGTTCTCTTCATATATAAAGAATGGGGTTAAATGGGTGAAAAAAGGGAACAAAAATCTGCGGTAAAACCCGTCGATATTGTGACGGACTCCAAAAATTTCAGACATCATCGGTTTTGGGGCTTGGAGGTGTTCCGGCGATCTGAGTCCACATTCCACTGGAATTCTGCCTCTGCTATGCCATTAGCGCAGCTTGTGAAGAAGCAGCCTTTTGTGGCTGGAGGAGTTCAAGCTCCTTTTGCAACGCCTCCATCATTTGCAGCTTCAGCCTTAGTCCTGCCACATCGACCTGCCAGAACAATATCGCGCTCCACATAAGTGAAAAATGGAGTAGCCTTATGAATCTCGGCTGCTAATCAAAAGCCTATTTCACATGCAGCAGCCCATGACTGTGATTGGTTCGACTTCCTGTGTCGGTGTCAATATGGAGTTTAGCCTACACGGTGATAATGAGAAGATCTCCCCAAATTGAAGGACAGAACCAAATTCTATTCGACGCCCCGTCCTGCAATGACTGTTCTGCATTCCGGATCGATATACATTTGTAGTTGGGGATTTCTTGGGAACCATTGCAATGAACAAGGCAAGGGGCGAACTGCATTCGGAGATTATGAAAAATGTACAGTAGAGGCATTAAATCACTTCTCAGAACTATGCTACCACTTCTAGAGCCGAGAAGAACTAATCCAAGTACAGAACAAGGGAAGAGGAGTTTGTGAGAACCAGCAAGTACCTCAAGTTTGAAAACCCTTGGCTGCTCCCGGCAAGTTGACCCCGCACAGACTGATACTCCTCCATGTGCTGTTAAGATATGTCGAGCCTAGTAGCCCTTCTATTTTCAAGGCAGAGGGGATTATTAAACATTAAACCTGAGGACTCTTGTAGATGTTCGCAACACCCTCTCACTTGGAAACTCTATTCTTCCGAACCGTCCCCCTCGACCTTCGACCACAGTCCTTGTACTCGGCGGCACGTGGGCAGCCCCCCAAGCCTGTTCCTTGCTACCACACACTCTCCACTGATCTGCTCCAAATTCGCAACCCTTCCCACCTCTCTGAGGCTACGTGCGAGCGTCAATGATCTCGGCGAGGTCACCAAGGTCATGGATGACTGCAGATCGAGTCGCCAAAGCGGTGATGCTCCATCCAGATGATTTTTGGAATTTTTCATGTTAATGCCGTATAGTTTTCACCTCTCAACGTTCGCCTCATGACCTACATACCTCTTTGGGTGGTAAACGTGAATGGAAAGATCAGCTACATTCACATCCCTAACTCGATTCAAGCTCGACTACGGTTAATTCTAAACTGCCAGCCCCAAATCCCATTTCTGCCCTTCTATATTTTTCGTGAACTGCATTATGTCAGTGATATGAACTTGATTATCCGATTCATTGCCATACTTATGAAACAAACAACGGAAAGAGAAGAGCCAAAATGAAGGTCAGATCGCTATTTTAGTCCCTGAAACAGAACCATTTCATTTACACTAAAAGAAAAGAATCATTTCATTTACACTAAAAGAAAAAGAACATATCGTAGCTCAACACAGGAATACAACCGGAAAAGGCAGAGGAAGGAAAACGTAAAACAAGAAGCCTCTGCTACATATCAAAACATGGAACCCGGCATCGTATCAGGGGCCATTATCTGACCCTAACACAGCCCATACACCGCCTGCAATCACGTTTGCGGCGAGCCGGCCCATAAACGACTGCAGGAAGTTACCGCCGTAGTTGCTCGTCTGGTGTGCCGGCAGTGGGGCTGCGTATCCAGGTCCTGCCAGGGGATACACGTGACCCTGTGGCGGATATGCCCCCGGCAGTGGATATGACCCCGGCGGCGGATATAACCACAGGGGATATTCCGCCGGCGGTGGATATGGCCCCGGCGGCGGATATGCCCCCGGCGGTGGATATCCCCACAGGAGATATGCCCCCGGCGGTGGATATGGCCCCGGCGGTGGATATGGCCCCAGCGGGGGATATGGTCCCAGGGGATGTGGACCCAGCGGCGGGAGCACCGGCGGCATCGGAGGGTATGGCACTGCCCCTTGCATTGGTGGCGGGTATGCGGCAACCGAGTTCGAGGCAGGCGGCGCCGCTGCAGCTGGATGAACCTTGCTCAATGAACTGAGACAGAGTTGTACTGTATATTTGTCTAGATAAAGGGGCGATCCGGCAGGGAAGAAGAAGAAACACCCGTACCAGAGCGTCGGACTCTAATAAACTAACGAAAACACGAGTCAACGAAGTCAAAGGTACTGCCAGGCTGGCACGACACCGCCCGCCGTTTACCCGAACGCTCCGCAAATTACAATATTCTCCTTCCTATTTTTTCTCTTCCTTGGGCTATAAGAGTTCCGGTATAATTGCCAATTAGGTGAACTCGAGGCTGCCACGTGTCCCCTCGCGCTTGGCCTTCTTATACGGGGGAGAAAATATTCAGTGGGCACATAGTGCCAGGTCACCTGCTGATGTGGCACGCATGTGTCCAATCAGCACCAGTGAAATTTTGACACTTGTAAATTTGAATCTCAAAATAAGAAAAGGAAAATTAGTTAGTGTCAGCCTAGCTTGCTAAAGCAACCCATCCGTGTCAGGGCAATTAATGCTTCCGAAATTTCAATCGAGCGCCCTTTCTCCTTCCCTCGTTGTCTCCGCTGATCAAAATCTTTCTTCTTCCTTATTTTCTCTTCTTCCTCGTTTTTTTTTTCTCTCTCGCCCTTTTTCAGTTTCTGAAGAATTTCTGTTACGGAAGTGCAAAACTCCACTTCACACAACAAAATAGAGGTGCGCTGCGAGACGCTCCGGTTTGCGCAAAATAGAGTTGCTTTGCGGGACTTCGCTCGAGTTCGTGCAAAACAGAGGTGTGCGGCACATCGCTCCGAATCGCGAAAATCAGAGGTGCGTTTCGTGCGTTTCGGCCCTACTCGTATTTTGCATTCGCAAAAGTCTTAGTTTCGTAAGTGAGATGCACTTTCGCTATTGTTTGATCTTATGTAAACTTTTCTTTTTCTCTCTTTTTCAGTTTTTGAAGGAAGAATTTCTGTTACGGAAGTGCAAAACTCCACTTCGCATAACAAAACAGAGGTGCGCTGCGGGACACTCTGGTTTGTGCATAACAAAGGTGCTTTGTGGGACTTCGTTCGGGTTCGCGCAAAACAAAGGTTTGCGGTACATCGCTCCGGATCGCAAAAATCAGAGGTGCGTTTCGGCCCTACTTGTATTTTGCATTCGCAAAAGTCTCAGTTTCGTAAATGAGCTGCATTTCGCTGTTGTTCGATCTTATGTAGACTTTTCTTTCTCTCTCTTTTTCAGTTTTTGAAGGAAGAATTTCTATTACGGAAGTGCAAAACTCCACTTCGCACAACAAAATAGAGGTGCGCTGCGGGACGCTCTGGTTTGCGCATAACAGAGGTGCTTTGCGGGACTTCGCTCGGGTTTGCGCAAAACAGAGGTTTGCGGCACTTCGCTCCGGATTGCGAAAATCAGAGGTTCTTTTCGGCCCTACTCGTATTTTGCATTCGCAAAAGTCTCAGTTTCGTAAATGAGCTGCATTTCGCTATTGTTCGATCTTATGTAGACTTTTCCCGATCCTATAAATTGTTGTATGTAAATCATGGCACGTTGCTTTAGCTCCACCAATCTGAATTCCATCAATCAACTAAAACTTAGGGTAGTGGGGCGTGGATGAAGGGGTTCTAGAAGGCGAGCTTATGCAAGTGAGCTGCTCTTAACAATTATGAGGAACCCCAATGATGCCTGCCAACTATTTGCGCAAAGGTCTACGCTTGAATTGGCTTAGTAATTGTGATTGTTTTCACAAATTGTGGTTGTTTTCACATATGATCCTGCAATGGAAGAAAGGAAAAAAAAAATTAATGCCCTTGAACTCAAGCTGTAGTCGCACTGCTCTGTATATTTCTTTCTTTTTTTTCCGTCTGTCATAAGTGCTGCTGGTTGATTGAAAAGCTTAGATTGAGATTGAAATTTCAATATAGAAGATAATAGTGCTACAACGAGCTACCGGTAATATTTTTCTTTTCAAAGCTTGCAAATTAGTGGTTATGGTAGTTAAACTAAAAGGTTGTTCCTAGATAGTTTTTGAAAGGTTTCCGGATAATTCACGTTTGATAATTTCTTTTGCTTGGACTCCATCTATTTTTTATTATCATGAGTAGAAGTTTAACTACCTATGACATTATGATTTTAGTATGACATCTCGAGGATCCTCGAATACATTGGTTGATTTTCCATCCAAGATATGCCCATGTCCTCGAGGGAGATTATGCATGGTCAAAAAAGTGCAAAAGAATCCTATAAATCAAGGCAGATTATATTATGCCTCAACTTGTAATGTAAGTGTTTCAATTTTTAACAAATTATTTATGCATGTTATGACATGTTGTAATACTTAATCTTGCCTTACACTGATTTTTTTTTTCAGACAAATGACTGTCGTGGTTTTGTGCAATGGGTTGAAGATTATGTTGAGGAATTACGGCTCTATTCACCGAAAAATATCAACAGAGCCGAGTCAGGAGTTGCATCAAATGAAAATGAAGAAATGGCTATCATGAAAAGAGAATTGAAGTTAATTAGAAGAAGGATGGGCTTTTTTATGTCAATAATAGTACTATATGGAGTTATCATATCTTTACTCACTGGAATTGTAATCTCAATGTTATTATATAGGTAGTTATAGGAGTTATTCCTGATAATTCTGTAGAACTTGTTTTTATTATGCTGTTGAAGTAATTTAGAGAAGAATGAGTTTTTGTCTTTCTCAAAACGAATATGTAGATTGTGTCTAAACCAGACCAGTGTATGACACTCTGAATAGTGAATATAAAGCCTACCCAAACATCTATGTGTTAAATTCTAGTTATAACCAACTTAGTTATTTTTTTATGACATCAAAGAGAAAGAGATTGTCCCTCCTATGAGTGCCAAGGGACCCAGGATCGACATTGAGATGAGAACTTGTTATTAATATGAGTTTAAAGTAATTTAGGGAAGAATAAGTTTTTGTCTTTTTTTTTTCAGACAAATGACTGTCATGGTTTTGTGCAATGGGTTGAAGATTATGTTGAGGAATTACGGCTCTATTCACCGAAAAATATCAACAGAGCCGAGTCAGGAGTTGCATCAAATGAAAATGAAGAAATGGCTATCATGAAAAGAGAATTGAAGTTAATTAGAAGAAGGATGGGCTTTTTTATGTCAATAATAGTACTATATGGAGTTATCATATCTTTACTCACTGGAATTGTAATCTCAATGTTATTATATAGGTAGTTATAGGAGTTATTCCTGATAATTCTGTAGAACTTGTTTTTATTATGCTGTTGAAGTAATTTAGAGAAGAATGAGTTTTTGTCTTTCTCAAAACGAATATGTAGATTGTGTCTAAACCAGACCAGTGTATGACACTCTGAATAGTGAATATAAAGCCTACCCAAACATCTATGTGTTAAATTCTAGTTATAACCAACTTAGTTATTTTTTTATGACATCAAAGAGAAAGAGATTGTCCCTCCTATGAGTGCCAAGGGACCCAGGATCGACATTGAGATGAGAACTTGTTATTAATATGATTTTAAAGTAATTTAGGGAAGAATAAGTTTTTGTCTTTCTTGAAACGAATATCTAAATTATGTCCAAAGCAATGTATGGCACTTTGAATAGCGAATATAAAACAATGTATGGCAAAAAGTAGCGTATGGTATGGCATAATGAATATAAAGCCTACGCAAACATCTTTACGTTCAATTCTAGTTATAACCAACACTAAAGAGATCGTGTACCGGCTAATAGTGCCAAGAGACCTCAGCTTTCATACGGGTCATTATAAGAAGTGGACCAACTCTTCCATTAAACCCCCAAGAGGGAGAGAATTAAAACCGACATCATGTGCATATGTACATCCCTTCGATATGCCATAAAAGATAGATACAAAAGCAACCAAATATCTACAATCAGTAACTTAATCGCCAAAAAGGGACTCTTGTAAATAGAATCTAAAAACAAAACAACTACTAATCTATTAACAACCAAAAATTCTCCTAACAAAAACAAATCCTTGGAGATCAGATACACAAATTGCTTCCACATTGAACTTGCTTGCCGAAGGAAGATCAATCTCTAATGACCGCAGACTTTTACTGAAGATCAATCCTGCATAAAAAGTGACCAAATATCTACAATCAGTAACTTAATCGCCAAAAAGGGACTCTTGTAAATAGAATCTAAAAACAAAACAACTACTAATCTGTTAACAACCAAAAACTCAGCCTAACAAAAATAAATCCTTGGAGATTAGATACACAAATTGCTTCCACATTGAACTTGCTTGCCGAAGGAAGATCAATCTCCAATGATCGCAGACTTTTACTGAAGATCAATCCTGCATAAAAAGTGACAGTACCGGAATTATTTCATGCATTTCTTTGCTTATACCCATTTTCATAAAGGAGAAGTGCATATAAATAAACTGTCAAAAATAGATGCAATCATTCTTTTACGTTAAACAAGCTATTATACCTTGTGTAAGGTGACTCGTGCACATGAAGAGGCTTTTCTCTTTCGCTTCTCCCCGATGCTCTTCAATCTAGTATTTGGTACACCTTTTGGTCTTCTCCGAAGGGGATCACATACTCGAATTCCAGAATTTTCTGCATCTTCAGATTCATCACTTTCCACCAAGAAATCAACATGATCATTATCTGTTAAACATTTCATTTTCTTTGTAATTTGGGAGCGAAGACGCAACAAAGTTGTAGTTGCAAGCTCCTCAGTAACATCATGATTCGCGCTAAAGTTCATAACATTGAAAGCCAACCGCATCAACCTCTTCAAACACAACGTCTTTGATTGAACTGCATCCTGAGAGCTTTGTCCGATCTCATCACAAGGAGTCCCTTGCTTTGCAGCTTTTGTCCACCTCTTCATAATGTATTGTGATGGAATACTTGTAACATTCACAACATGAGTCAAGATGCACAAAATATGCCTACACAACCATCCTTGCATTTCAAATAACTTGCAACTACATGTGACGGTAGAATCGCTCGAACTAAAATGGACAATATGCTTCCTTTCACTACTTTCAGTTCCCAAGATATAAGTATGCAATGGCCCATCAACATATGATCCAAGAACATGTTCAGACAAAGCATGCAAGAACTCAGCCTAGAAATTCCTATATATGATATGAGTGTATACATTTGCAGCATGTTTCAAAATTCCACTATTCTCAACCATAATACGTGGCTTTCCTCGAGCACAGTCAAAATCATCAATAACTTCAGTGTTGCGCATTTTTTCCGCTTGCTTTTCATAATGATTGACAAATTCAGACAAAGTCATAGTCTTACATGCCATATCTTGAAAAACATTACTTGTGCTCTCACTTCTTTGCGTAGATCTAATTCCTGCGGAAAAAATATCACGCCCAAATGCAGGACACCACTTATGCCGCAAGCGATATATACCATCCAACCACTTGTTATCTCCCAAGCTCCATTCTTCACACATAGCTTTCCAAGTGTTCTCCATTTCAAATTCAGATTCGCAACGATATAGAAGCTTTTGCCAATATTTATCGCGAAAATCTGTCTTTCCAAGAAGATGTGCAGTATGATGCGTAGCATTTTTCCCAATATGCCATATACACAAATGATGATTAGTATTCGGAAAAACAGTTTTAATGGCATTTGCCATGGCATGATCTTGATCAGTGAAAATAGTCTTCAGTGCTTTATCGCCCATTACCTTCAAAAAGGATTGAAATGCCCAAACAAATGAACCAATAGTTTCATCCAATAGAAATGCACAACCAAAGAGAACATTCTTCCAATGATGATTCAAGCCAACAAAAGGTGCACATATCATATTGTACTTATTCGTATGGTAAGTGGTATCAAATACCACCACATCTCCAAAACTGTCATAATCCAACTTGGATACACCATCAGACCAAAAAAAATTGGTCAGTCTCTGTTCATTATCCATCTGAAATGTATAAGAGAAATTGCTTCCATTTGATTGTAAGCAATTAAAATGGTTAATGAGACTTTGACAATCACCTGTACTAATCAGGTTCCTTCTCTTTGATTGTAAAAAGTTTTGGCAATCACGTAAAGTAAACCCAACATTATCTGGTCCTCCTGCTTCACCACTTAGGTAGGAATATGCTTTTGTAGCCCTTATACCCGCCCCGGCCATAGAAGTCAAAATACTTTTACTAGTATTTGTAATGTGTCGATATGACCGTATCAAGTGCTTTTGTCTATCATCAATGAAAGGATGATTGTGAGAATTCTTAAACTCGGTAACTATCCAATCTCCATCTTCAATTTTGAATTTAATGCAAGCTTGACATCCGGTTCTCTTCACTGTTCTATAAACATCTCTTTGTTCATGAAGTGGGATTGGTGGAGAGTGTCCTTCACAATTACAAAGAAATGTGCATCTACGCAACATTCCTTTACTATTGTATGCTTTTTGTCCTTTTCGTACTCCAAATCCCTTGCAAATTGCATATGCATTGTATGTATTATATGATTCGTCCTCATTAGCAAATTTCATGCCAATTCTAAATTCAAATTCTTTATCGACCTTATGCACGATACTATTATCCTCTGGAGCCTCTACAATAAAAAATTCTAATCATTAAAAGAAGAAAGATAAAGTGAAAACAAGTTCAGTTATAACAAAAGATGAGGTCATACCCATTTATGTCGAGGACAAGCTGAGCTAGCTACAGGGATTATAAATAACCTGCCATGTACATGTTAAAATATAAGTTAGGAAAAATCTGCCACCATCATCAGTCATCACCAATTACAAGAAATTTGCCTAGAAAATCTGAAATCTTCCACAGAAGAGAGAGAACCTGTTATGACTGAAGGATGAGAGCGCTTGAGTGGTCGTGCTGGAATGTCTAACCATGGTCAACCATGCTCAACCTTCGCACCTTTCTACTTTGCAATTGCTAAGCCAATTCAAGCGTAGACCTTTGCGCAAATAATTGGCAGGCATCATTGGGGTTCCTCATAATTGTTAAGAGCAGCTCACTTGCATAAGCTCGCCTTCTAAAACCCCTTCATCCACGCCCCACTACCCTAAGTTTTAGTTGATTGATGGAATTCAGATTGGTGGTGCCAAAGCAACGTGCCATGATTTACATACAACAATTTATAGGATCGGGAAAAGTCTACATAAGATCGAACAATAGCGAAATGCAGCTCATTTACGAAACTGAGACTTTTGCGAATGCAAAATACGAGTAGGGCCGAAAAGAACCTCTGATTTTCGCAATCCGGAGCGAAGTGCCGCAAACCTCTGTTTTGCGCAAACCCGAGCGAAGTCCCGCAAAGCACCTCTGTTATGCGCAAACCAGAGCGTCCCGCAGCGCACCTCTATTTTGTTGTGCGAAGTGGAGTTTTGCACTTCCGTAATAGAAATTCTTCCTTCAAAAACTGAAAAAGAGAGAGAAAGAAAAGTCTACATAAGATCGAACAACAGCGAAATGCAACTCATTTACGAAACTGAGACTTTTGCGAATGCAAAATACAAGTAGGGCCGAAACGCACCTCTGATTTTCGCAATCCGGAGCGATGTACCGCAAACCTTTGTTTTGCGCGAACCCGAACGAAGTCCCACAAAGCACCTTTGTTGTGCACAAACCAGAGTGTCCTACAGCGCACCTCTATTTTGTTGTGCGAAGTGGAGTTTTGCACTTCCGTAACAGAAATTCTTCCTTCAGAAACTGAAAAAGATAGAAAAAGAAGAGTTTACATAAGATCAAACAATAGCGAAAGTGCAGCTCACTTACGAAACTAAGACTTTTGCGAATGCAAAATACGAGTAGGGCCGAAACGCACGAAACGCACCTCTGATTTTCGCGATCCGGAGCGATGTGCCGCAAACCTCTGTTTTGCACGAACCCAAGCGAAGTCCCGCAAAGCAACTCTATTTTGCGCAAACCGGAGCGTCCCGCAGCGCACCTCTATTTTGTTGTGCGAAGTGGAGTTTTGCACTTCCGTAACAGAAATTCTTCAGAAACTGAAAAAAGGCGAGAAAGAAAAAAGAAACGAGGAAGAAGAGAAAATAAGGAAGAAGAAAGATTTTGATCAGCGGAGACAACGAGGGAAGGAGAAAGGGCGATCGATTGAAATTTCGGAAGCATTAATTGCCCTGACAAGGATGGGTTGCTTTAGCAAGCTAGGCTGACACCAACTAATTTTCCTTTTCTTATTTTGAGATTCAAATTTACACGTGTCAAAATTTCACCGGTGCTGACTGGACACATGCGTGCCACATCAGCAGGTGACCTGGCACTATGTGCCCACTGAATATTTTCTCTATACGGGGCGTTTCCTCGTCCCTGCCGGATCGCATCGTTTCTTTCTTTCTTCCTTTCAAAAAAAATTTCTAAATGTTTTGACAATTTATTAATTTAAGTCTAAACCTTTTAACAGTTTTATCCTAAATCTTTTCGCGATTTGTCAAAATAGTCGTTCCAGTAAATTTTAACTAGAAATCACTGACACACGGCCGTCTTACGTGACACGGCATGCGCTGATGTTGACAATTTTATAATTTTTTTGAATTTATTAAATCACAGGTTTGAGTTACATCGCGAGCGAATTTTTTTTATCATCTTGTACCTTTACGGATGGATTAAATGTCGCGACCCTCTTTTTTTGTCGAGGGAAAAAGAAACGAGTTTAGGGGTGTTGCCTAACAGCGGACCAACGGCCCTTGATTAGGCACAGACTCTCTGAAGCCCTTACCTCTCGCGACATTGGGTTTATCATTTTATGTTCTTTAACAACCAAGGTAATTCTAGGAGTCGCCACTAACCATTTGGGGTTGGCCAGAAACCAAACGAGATGCGGGAGTGTCGCCTCGTTTCCCATGCAACCAAAGTTTCTAAACTTGGAGACTTGATTACGCAAATATCTACTAGTACCTTTTCAGTACCATAAACCTGGTGGGTTGTTATCTAAATGGCCATGTATTCTTGATTACCAATTATGAATCATAAAGATATTGAAACCATTTCTAAGTTGACATGCAAATGTTATTGTGAGTTTATTTTCATTAAAGTCTAGATTAATCCTAGCCTAATCTAGAAAAGACATTAACACATAATTAATTAAAAAGCGATGCGAAAAGTAAACAATCAAACTATTGAAAGCATCTATCTAAGTGCGGAAATGTAAAACCCGCAACTTGTCAAGCAAATGATATACATGGCCCAGTTATAAAGCCCCGGGACAGCAACTCCCATGGGCTCAGTTCAAAATGAGTCCAATTTTTTGCTTAAAACGTTAATTTATCACAGCTAAGCCATAACCAAAGGTGTTCACTAAAACCCTTAAAACTAAATGTATGCTAACTAAATAAAACTAAGCTACATCTAGCGCTAAAACAAAGCAACCTAATTAAGACCCGCTTCTAAGCTATTTTCTGATTTTTTTTAATTTTTAATTTTCGATTTTTTCAATTTTAATTTTTTTATAATTTTTTTTTAATTCTGAAAATGGGGACCCGGGCTGGGCCTCCGGGGCAAAATGGCTTGACATAGTTAATCTTTGCAATTTTTCTTTGTTGGGTGCGGTTGGGTTTGTTTTCTTTTTATTATTATTATTGTTATTATTATTATTATTTTGGTTTTTAGCTAAGCTTATCCTTCTACTATATATCGGTTAGTCAAAAGAGGTGTAGCAGCTTCTCATGAGAGCGACAACATTGTACAAACTCAAATGTATGTTTAAAATATAATCACCCTTAAAATTTCCTCAAATTACACGAATACCCTGCTGCTGTCTCGTAATCACCAAGCCCGTTGATAGGGTTATGTTAGTCACTCTACGTTAAGCTTGACTTTTGGGTCTCCCAAGAGATTAACAACATTAACTATTTCTCGCATTTTCTAGCACCGTCCACCAAACCCAGATCTTTGCTTAACGACCGTCCGATCGACTCGCACTGACCCACGCGGACTTCGATCCATCGGTGGAGCCCCAAAAACGACTTCGTTTAGCCTGGCTTCACCTCATTGGACAGACAAAGTCTTCGGATTGTCGGCATGAAACTCCTAGATTCAAGCAGCTTCCGTCCAATGTCCCGATCACAGGTATTAGGCAACGAATCACCTCATTATCTCCAAGATTTAGTCACCTTAGTTAAAAAATTAATTCTCCATCTCTATATAAACCGTGCAACCTCCTCTTGCCAAGACCATCAACTCATCAAACTCAGCCAAGCAATTGTAAAACCTTCTCATACACACACACAACCTGTCTCACCAAAGAAATGGCTCCCATTATCGCGGCCGATGCTTCCACCAATGGCGTCGTGAAACCGAAGCCCGGAAACCAGCCTAGCTGTGCCTACGTGACGTTTTTGGCCGGAAACGGCGATTACGTGAAGGGTGTGGTTGGGCTGGCCAAGGGGCTGAGGAAGGCGAAGAGCAAGTACCCGCTCGTGGTGGCGATCTTGCCGGATGTGCCGGCGGATCACCGGAAGATCCTGGTGGATCAGGGCTGCATCGTGAGGGAGATCGAGCCCGTCTATCCGCCGGAGAACCAGACTCAGTTCGCCATGGCCTATTACGTCATCAACTACTCCAAGCTCCGAATTTGGGAGGTGTGCACTTGGTTTTTAAATATTCTTTGTGTGCTTCCTTGAAAGTTAGGATTGAGAAGTGCTATTAGCATGGTGATATTGAGTTATTGATCTGGCTTCTTGAATTGTAGTTTGTCGAGTACAGCAAGACGATCTATTTGGATGGCGACATCCAAGTTTTTGACAACATAGACCACCTCTTCGACCTCCCGAATGGCTTCTTTTACGCGGTAATGGACTGCTTTTGCGAGAAGACATGGAGTCACACCCCTCAGTACGAATTCGGGTATTGCCAACAGTGCCCAGACAAGGTCCAATGGCCCGACCATGTCGGCCCGAAGCCGTCTCTCTACTTCAACGCCGGCATGTTCGTGTACGAGCCAAACCTCGACACTTACCACGATTTGCTCGAAACCCTCAAGATCACACCTCCAACTCCATTTGCTGAACAAGACTTCCTGAACATGTACTTTAAGGACATCTATAAACCGATTCCTAATGTGTACAACCTCGTGCTCGCGATGTTGTGGCGTCACCCAGAGAACGTCAAGCTGGACAAGGTGAAGGTTGTTCATTATTGTGCCGCGGGGTCGAAGCCGTGGCGGTACACGGGCGAGGAAGAGAACATGGACCGGGACGACATCAAGATGCTGGTGAAGAAGTGGTGGGATATTTACGATGACGAGTCCTTGGACTACAAGAATATCGTTGCTAGGGATGTAGCGGCAAAGCAAACAAAATGGAATCGATTCCTTGCGGCATTGGCGGAGGCCGGAGCTTTCCGCTTCATTACTGCCCCGTTCGCGGCCTAGTTGTGTGTACTTGGGGCTTTTTTCATAAGTGTGTAGAGCAAATATAGAGTCAGCTACAATTGAAACTCGTTGCTCTTTTCTTTTCCTTGAAAGGGAAGGATTTTATTTTCCCTTTCATTTCCATGATTTAGGGGCTGAAGATAAATATTTCTCATAAATATTTTTTTTTTGTTTTCTTTTGTTGAGTGATGTGTACAAATATATGTTAAACGAAATTTCAAATTAATATATGTTATTTGGGTTGTATATCTGTAGAATTTTCCTTTAATCTTGATGGATACCTTCTCTTAGACTATTATATAAATATAATGGAGAACTACCAAAACAAATAGCATCAATTTTTTTTATAATCTGATTTTTGGAAGAGTGAAGGAAAGGCACTATGAAGAGGTCTAGGGTAAGAGTGAACTCCATCGTCAAACAGTTGACAGAAAGTAATTACACAAAAATAAAAGAAAGATTTTGAAAAAAGACTAAATAAAAAATCACTAAGGAAGGGGGGCAGTTGGTGGTAAGATATGAGGTGCACTTGCGCTCTTGGAACGATCAAATTATAGAAACTCGTTATGTGTTCTATTTCAAATAATACTCCATCTCCTCTAAAATGACAACCTTATACTAAAAGTATAATTCGCTATACCGCGAGTTGTTTAACCCTCCCTCTATTTTCATGTAATTTGGAGATATCAAAAAGTGAAAATTACTTAAATCTTTAAGAAAATGTAAGCTAAGAGACTCATTCATAAATTCAGTTAATTGATAAAGTAACGTGTATTTATTTATTTCATGTTTCATAATATCACTCGTTTGTTAATATCATTCATGGTATGTCCTGTTATTTCGAATTCATTTTTTATAAGAATAAAATAGAGTCATTCGTTTGCCATAGTCTCTTTAGAAAGATAACCCAATAGTCACTCTATGTAACATCAAATAAGTTCTAGATTTTTGGTCAAAAGTTAATAAAAATGTTATCTTCTTTTGTAATATTCAAAGATCATCATCTTTAAAAAAAACTTCAAAAGTCTCGTTTCGTGGGTCAACAAGCTCCGGAAGAAGATAATTAGTCGCTAATCCATTGGTTTTAGCTGCCATTAGCGTGTCAAATTTCTTTGACCAACTAACGTGGACCCTCCCTCGATTAACTAACATAACTGGAAAAGTGGAAAAACAGAGACCCCAAGGACGCGACCCTTTTCGCCACGTGTCCCTCGCACCGTCCTTTGAATCAGGAGTTGACACGTGGACTGGTGCTACGAGACCAGGCGACAGACGCGCGAATGGATGACGGTGGTGGGGCCCCGACCCCGACCGTTGGAGAAATACGGTGTGGCATCACCATCTGATTACGTGCCTCTTTCTAAAATAATTAAAACGTGAAAAAGAAAATAAAAAAACGTTCTCCAATGATAGGAAGTAGTTATTTACCTTCCTCCCCTCCCTCAATTGGGACAGACAGAATTCCCACCGTTGAAAATGGAGATCAATGATGATTTGTCATTCATCTTGTCCCTCATATGAAAAGGCGAAATAGAATATTTTTCATTGATATGCCATCGGCGCATTAGGCGCAAAGAAACAAACACAAACGGTACAGATAGATTATGAAAAGACAACACACTCTTAAGAGGACCGCAATCAAAGTTATACCTTTGAACGATTCTATTTAAACCTAACATGATCATTGTTTGCTGTTTCTACCGTAGAATCTCGAGTTCATATTCGTCCTGGCTCCAAAACTTGTCACCGAGACTGGAATTGGGGTTTCTTAGGGCAAATAGGGCTTGAATGGGAGGGACTGATTTAGGGATTTGAGGATTATGAGCTGATTTGGGGCTTTAGTTGCTCGATCAAGAAATACGCCGAATATCAATCCATATCATGCCATCATTTCGTTGAATATCAATCCACGTCATGCCATCATCCTTACGCAATGATTGATTACGTAAAACTGTTCTACCAGAGACCTACAGAGCATGCTTGAAAAGTTCAAAATGACTGAGCAAGTTTTAGACTGAAATGATTATTATAGAAACTCGTTGCCTATTCCCTTTCGCCTGTTTGAATGTAACAATACTCCACCTCTTTAATGACAAACTTATGTTTGACTAAAAGTGTAATATGCATTATCATGAGATGTTCAATCCTCCCTTTTCTTTCATGTTATGTGGAGATATCAAAATGTGAAAACTACTGTAGATATTTATAATAATGTTAGCTAGAAACTCAAATACTGATATGTAAATTTGATTTATAAAGTAACGTGTATTAATTAATTCATATTTTGATATATGGCCAATTCGTTTAAATATCATTTATGATTTGTCCCCTTATTTCGAAATTAATTTTCAAAATCAATTTTGTATGTGTACGATATGTTAGTGGAATGGGATACTCTTCTTTAAAAGAGTAAAATAGAATCATTTGTTTGTCATAGGCTCTTTAGGATGATAGCTCAATAGTCACGTCATACGATATTAAATCAATTTTTTTTAGATTTCTAAATTTTTTTCTCTTTTTTCTTTTGTTCCTTTTTCCCTCCATTGGTCACCGCCAAAGGTGTTGTCGACCTCAGGCCAAACCTCGCCTGCCTCAGGCGAGTTTGAGCCTCACTCGAGGTTAGTGAAACTAGCAAGGTCAACCCTCGTTTGTGGCTGGTCACTGGTCATTGTCGAGACTCAGCGATCGGAAGAAAAAAAAAAGAAAGAAAAGAAAAAGATAAAAGATAAATAGATAAAAATTAAAAAATCATTTATATCAACGCCGATCATACTACGTAGAACGGTCGGTGTCCACGTCACTGATTTATGGCTAGAAAAACTAAATTAGGGAATTGTTAAAAAAATTATGACTAAATTGTCAAATCGTTGCAAGATTTGAGACTAAATTGTCACAATTGAAAAGTTTAGAACTAAATTAACACATTGTCAAAAAATTTAAGATCAAATTTACACGGCTAAAAGTTTATGACTGATTTGGTTGCTACAAAATAGGTTCATGACTTTGTGGACTAATTTCCCCGATACAAATGTCATCTCCTTTCGCAATACTCAACAATTACTATCCTAACAAAAAAAAAGTTTCCATTTCGCCCCTCAAGTCAACAAGCTCTCGAAGGGACAATGACTAATTCATTGGATTAAGATGATAATCTTTCGAATAAGTAAAGAGATGGACCCTCCCTCGGATTCCACAACTAACATAACTGGAAAACCGGAAAAATAGCGACCTCCGAGGTGCCCTTTATTGCCATGTGTCCTCGCACCGTCCTTTGAACTAGGCGTTGACACGTGGAATGCCGTTATGACCCAAAATATAAAAAATAAAAAGACACTGGTGGGACCCAGTGGCGGCCCCACCTGCCGACAAGAAGCTATTTCGTGCTGTACAGTCGGCTCGAGGCATATTAGTCGTTGGATTGTCAGAGTCCGACGTGGGGTCCACGAGATCCAAGGGATCACATGCACTGGGACCGAGTACGATTTTCGTATATCTGGACACGTTTTTTTAATTGTTCATCAATTTGACGTGTAGAGAACTTTCAAACCCACCAAAATTTTCGAGTAACAAATTCGATCTTAACGAGTCCAAATTACGGCCCGCTTCGGTCTGAAGATGCTTCAAACGAAAAATTGAAAATTAATTGTTTTCAATGATGAAATTCATTGTTGGTGTAATTATACGTGGTCCACAAACAATTCTTGCATGTAATATAATTCATTAACTTGCAAAAATTGCGTCACTTACTTTCACAAAGATTTTAGGTATTGTATATCCTCGTATATATTCTAAAATTCACACTTTAATTCATGGCATAGGAGTACGAGACACAAATACACCTAACTTGGACGAAAGCTATTTTAACTCATCGCTTAGGAGTCGAATTCTTCGCGCCCCGTGCCCTTTCGATTATAAGCAAATATCAGTAGAGGACTGTCGACGATCGTGCTTGGCTAGATATATTATAACAATTTATCACGGGTTTACCCTATCTCATGTTCATGCAATTACGGCAAGATTTACTCTCCCTATACATAAATATTTTATCTTTGGCCAAATTATAGTATATAAAACATAGATGTGCAGTGACAATGAAGTTTCGTGCACCGTCCAAATCCAGAATTTTCTTCCCAACCTTTGACGATCTCCCACCCAAAACGACTTCGTTTCATACAAAAGTTGTTCCTCTCTTTCCCAAAAAGCAGTATGCGTTGGTCTCTGATTGGACAGACACCATCTTTGGTCAATGTCGGTATGAACGTCCTAGGACACATGGTGCTCCATCCTCATGTTAGTTGCCCCAATCAAATCCATAATTTAATTTTTAAAAAAATGAATTATCATATTTCTCTAATTAAGAATTATTTCCCAAACTCTATATAAACCATGCAACACCTCCATGGCAAATCCATCAAGCACAAGAACAAACCCAAGCAATCGTTCACTCACTCTTACTCAAACCTCTTCACATTCTCTAAAGCCATCTTGCTTCTTGTCAATACTCAACTACTTTCTTTCCTTCCTAGTTTAAGAACCGACCGAGGAAATGGCTCTTAATGTCGCCGCCGTCAAGCTGATGAAACCCAAGAACCAGCCCAGCCGGGCCTACGTCACGTTCTTGGCCGGGAACGGCGATTACGTGAAGGGTGTGGTTGGGCTGGCCAAGGGGATGCGGAAGGTGAAGAGCAAGTACCCGCTCGTGGTGGCGGTCTTGCCGGACGTGCCGGAGGAGCACCGGAAAATACTGGTGGATCAGGGCTGTATCGTGAGGGAGATCGAGCCGGTTTATCCGCCGGAGAACCAAACTCAATTTGCCATGGCCTACTATGTGATCAACTACTCCAAACTCAGGATTTGGGAGGTATGCCTAGTTTACTATTCGTTATTGATTGGTTCAATGCATATACTCTGTACTTTTTATCAATTCACCAACATTTCCTGATCTGGTTTCTTCCATTGCAGTTCTTGGAGTACAGCAAGATGATCTATTTGGACGGAGACATCCAAGTCTTCGACAACATTGACCACCTCTTCGACCTCCCGAACGGCTTCTTCTACGCGGTCATGGACTGCTTCTGTGAAAAGACGTGGAGTCACACTCCACAGTACCAAGTTGGGTATTGCCAACAGTGCCCCAACAAGGTCCAGTGGCCCAACCATGTCGGTCCAAAGCCGTCACTTTACTTCAATGCCGGCATGTTCGTGTATGAGCCGAACCTCAAGACGTATCGCGACTTGCTCGAGACGCTCAAGATCACACCTCCGACTCCATTTGCTGAGCAAGACTTCTTGAACATGTACTTCAAGGACATATACAAACCAATTCCCAACGCGTACAACCTTGTGCTCGCGATGTTGTGGCGTCATCCCGAGAACGTCGAGCTCAACAAGGTCAAGGTTGTTCATTATTGCGCTGCGGGGTCCAAGCCGTGGCGGTACACGGGCAAGGAAGAGAACATGGAAAGGGACGATATCAAGATGCTGGTGAAGAAGTGGTGGGACATTTATGACGACGAGTCCTTGGACTACAAAAACATTGTTGCTAGAGATGAAGCGGTGAAGCGAGCGAACTTGAAGAGGTTCATCGCGGCGCTATCTGAAGCAGGAGTTGTGCCTTACATGACTGCCCCGTCTGCCGCGTAGCTGTTAAAGAGTTTGGGGATTGTTAAATAAGTTTGTAGAGGAATTTTAGTGCATTAAGTACAGCTTGGAGTTGGTATTTTTCTTCCTTAAAATGAAAGGCTTGTTTTTTCTGCCTTTCATTTCCTTGATTTCTAGAGGTCTGAAGTGAATTTCTCTGCATTTTTTTTGTTTACTTCGGTAGACTCAAATGATATCTTCAGTTGTAAGATTGTACATGATTTCTTTTGCTACACATGACTTGATGTAGATTATGTAATAATCAAATCAGCTTTCTGTACTCACCTTGTTCATTCATGCCTTTGCATCACACCTGCATCATCGAATAACTTGGCTAATAAATCACGGCCAGAGTCGGAATTCGAGAGGCTTTAACAATGAGCCGATTTATGACTAAATGTTAGATGCTTTACTGTTTTGCATCTTTTCATCGAATAAGACTGGTGACATAGCACTTCCTCTCTAATGAATCCATACCAAGTTGCGGAGTGCTGAAGAAGTTCGACACCAGATGAACTTCTCAATGCCCCTTGACCGTTGCCTAGTTTTTTCTCTTTTTATGAACTTCTTGATCATGTGCCCAAGAAATATCCACAAGCCAAAGCCTCCAAGTTACAACTTTGTACAGGCCAGACCATGTTTGTGGTGGCATCCGCAGAAAATCGAGCTCGATTGGTTGAAAGTTATCCTCTACCGCCCTCAGGGGTCAATAACAAAGCCATGGAAGTACACTCTGAAAAGAGGGAAAAATGGATGGGGGAGATATGTGAAGAGAAGGTGGACTGATAAACTCCGCTTGTGCCATGTAGTAAGTGTGTACTGCGTGAGGTTGGGGAGGTAAACATTGGCTCTCTGATTAAATGTATCTGGGTATATACGATGATCAAACAGGTTGGTGAAAGAGTTTAGTATACTGTAATCTGTCTCAGTTGATCTCCATCATGTTCTTCCTCACAAGTACTAATTTCGGAACAAGTTTCATATCGCGATCCTATCAAAAGTTCAATCAATCACCTAATGATTTCAGCTGAGTTACAGGTTTTGAATCGACAAAACTGCTATGAATCGGATGCTAAGCAAGGGGTGTTTGAGTTTTGACTTTTGTCAAATACTGGTGCTGACCTACTGAAAAGAATTTGTGTGTCAAAAAACCATAGTTGGCCTATTAGCTCTGTTGGTTAGAGCGTCGTGCTAAGATGCTTGGGTGGATTTTCTTTGCATTCTTATATGTTCCTACTTTTTTACCTAGAAAGCATATATTGTATATTTCCACTTTCGAAAGGTCTTGCTTACTACAAACGCAAAAAAGCCCCCGGTTCATCCTACACGATATAACATGCGATGAGGAACTTGAGCAGACATAAAATTAGTGAAAGAGTGATGAAGAACGGACCGACAGAATTAAAACTTCTGTTTTTACCGGTGTACATGAATATGCCACAATTTGGATTAGCTTTCCCTAGCATAGCAAGAAGGGAAAGCTAGTAGAGAAAGAGTGGCGCGTAATTGTAGCTTATGTTTTGTGTTATGTACTGATGGGCCAATAATCAGCACAAGACCGTCCACAAGCACTTGAAAGTTCCAAAAGCCAATGAAGACAATGATGCAGATGCTGTGTCTGCCACAGCGTGTATAGCCTTCCCCACGTTGACGAGGGGAAAACCGAAACGCAAGGTGGTTCTGGTCGATCTTGCTTATGTTCGTGTTGTGTGCTAATGCAGCAATATCTAATTAGCACAAGACCGTCCACAAGCACTACATGAATTGCGGAAGCAAGCGATCGAGCAATTAAATAGACTAAATAAGAAAATGAATCGGACTCCAAATTTACGTGGTTCGATCGGGGCAATGAATATCACTATAAATCAAAAGATACAACGGAGATTACAACCACATTCGAGTTACTCAAACATTCTCAGAGTTCCTCATCCCCAATTATCCCCCAACAACTCACACAGTGTTTAGCCCTTACAATACCTCAAAATAATCTCTCAATCTCATAGAGATATTATACAAATCATGCCACAAGATTTATTGGCTTCAATACTCTCAAATTGATTCGGGGCAATTCACGAATAAGCCGCCTCTTAAGTACTCTTCACAAATAAGACACTTCTTATATATAGACAAGAATAAATCCAAAATATGAAACCTACTCAAATTAGATAACCACTCAAATAGGAAACTAGCTCCAACTAGAAAACCCATTCAAATTAAGAAAGTTTTCTTTTCGGGCTCAAATTCGAGGAATATTATCAATAATCTCCACCTTGACTCAATGTACTCTTCCATAGACGCCAATGGGCTTGCGTCACATACTTCTTTCAAGTTCAAGCCACACTTGAACTTTGCCATAATAGTGGACTCATCAAAACACTAACTCCACATGCACCTTTAACTATGATTTTCCGACACAATTTCCTCAAGCACAAAAAAACTACCATTGCATCCATTTATGTGAAGAGATCACTTATCTTATCAAACTTAATAGTGACAACAACCATTAGTTTTACAAGCTCCACTTTGCTACAAGAACCATCTATATCAATTACCCTGCCAGTACCTACTACCTAAGAAGTTTCTGGTTGCAACTCCATCTTGTACTGAACACTGTCTAGATCCATGGCCTTAAATAGGCTGCCGTAAATCACTCTATGGCCTTAAATAAGCTTCTCGTCAGTGGTATGTGAAGTTTACCATTGCACTCACAGCTACTGGTTTTGGACAATCCAGGCATGACTTTGTATTATTCATATGGACAAAAGGTACATCATCTATCTACTTGATAATATATGTTGATGACATACTCATTATGGGATCCGATGAATTTGCTTTCGAGGACTTTAAGAAATATCTTCATGCTACTTTCCACATTAAAGATTTGGGTCCTCCCACGCATTTCCTTGGAATTGAGATTACCAAATCAAACCTAGGAATCTAGCTTAGTCAACGGAAATTTATCCTGGAAATTATATCAAAAGTAGGTCTATTAGGGTGTAAGCCAGCTATTATTCCTATCAAGTAGAATGTCAAACTAACTACTTTTGATTATGATATGGGAACATTATCAAATAAGGATGATCCACTGCTCAAGGATCCATCAAGCTATTAGAAGCTTGTAGAAAAGCTTATTTACCTCACCATGACAAGACTTGACATATGTTATGTAGTACAAACACTAAGCCAATTTATGCATAACCCAAAGCAATCCCATATGAATGCAACTTTGAAGGTTGTGAAATATTTGAAGCAAAGTCCAAGACTTAGAATACTTCTCTTTCTCGATTGTAACATGGAGATGACGGCTTATTGTGATACAGAGTAAGCAACCTGTCCCATGACTCGTAGATCCATTACTGGGTTTTGCATGAAGTTTGGAAAATCCCTACTTTTGTGGAAAATGAAGAAGCAATCAACCGTGTCATTGTCATCAGCTGAGATTGAGTATCGAGCCATGGCTAAAACTGTCTGTGAGATAGTATGGACGCGAGGCTTACTTCTCGACCTTGACGTGTAAGTTAAAGGACCAACTATACTATTTTGTGATAATGATGTAGCAGTCAAGCTTGCAGCTAATCCCATAGTTCATGAAAGAACAAAGCATATAGAGGTTGACTATTACTTCACTTGAGACAAGATCTAACAAGGGATAATTACGACAAGAGGAATCGGGAGTTCAGAGCAGCCTATAGATATTTTCACCAAACCCCTTTGTCAAAGATAACACACATATCTGCTAAGCAAGCTTGGCATCTTGGACATATATAAGCCACTAGCTTAAGGGGAGTGTTGGAGATATGATTTGTGCATCGAAGATACATTGAATCAATCTAGGATTTAGATTGATTGGCTGAATCAATTAGTGATTCACTCTGATTTTCTATCTTTGTATTATTTCCTTTTATTGTCTACACAATATAATATAAATACATGTAAAGACATCATGCAAAATTCAATACAGAGGATACAAAGAAATTCTCCAAACTCGCTTCTTTAATTCGTGTCACCAAACCTCGACACTTACCATGATTTGCTCAAAACCCTTAGGAGCACACCTCTGGCTCCATTTGCTGAAGAAGACTTCTTGAACATGTACTTCAAGGACACCTACAAACCGATTCCTAATGTGTACAACCTCATGCTTGCAATGTTGTTGTGTCATCTCGAGAACGTCAAGCTGGACAAGGTGAAGGTCGTTCATTATTGCGTTGCGGGGTCAAAGCCATGGATCGGGACAAGGAAGAGAATATGGATCAGGACAATATCAAGACGCTAGCGAAGAAGTGGTGGGACATCTACAGCGAGAGGAGTCCTTGGACTATAAGAATATGGAAGAGTATATGGATCGGGACAATATCAAGACGCTAGCGAAGAAGTGGTGCGATATCTACTGCGAGGAGTCCTTGGACTATAAGAATATCGTTGCTAGGGGTGAAGCAGAGAAGCAAACGAAATGGGATCAATTCCCTGCGGCATTGGTAGAGGCCAAAGATTTTTGCTAAGTGACCTCTTTGTCCACAGCCTAGTTGTTTCGGTTTCGGGGTTTGTTTATAAGTGTGTAGAGCAATAATAGAGTCGGATACGATTGGAATTGGTAGCTCTTTTTTTTTTCCTTGAAAGGGAAGGGTTTTATTCTCCCTTTCATTTCCTTGATTTGGGGGCTTAAGATACAGATTTCTCTCTCGTTTTTTTCTTTTTTGCTTTCTTTTTGTTGAGTGATGTGTACGAATATATGTTAAACGAAGTTTCAAGTTAATATAGGCTATATATGTACCGTATCTATAGTCGTAATTTTTTTTAAGTGCAGTAAATCTCAATGGATACCAATTCATAGCCCATTATATGAAGATAATATTGGTAATTTGTTTGTAAAACAAACTTAGAGGTGCCTTCTCCCACATTGAAAGGATGTGAGTGCGCACTAGACGAGATTTGGCACTAATAAATGATCATTATTTTTTATTTATTGAATTTCTAATTTATTATTATAAAATAACTGTTTTGTCCTATTGAAACAGTATGACTGTTCGCAATAGAGTGTCGGTTATTTTTTAATAATTTAATTTCGAATTTTTATTTTCCGCCTAACTGTTATTAGGCACTCTTACAACTTTTGGAATGTTGTGTTTATTCGGTTGAAAGGTTGTGTTTGTTCAACGTATAAAATATTTCAACGTTTTGTTCATATAAAAGAACTACCATATTTCATTTTTTCAAAAAGATATACAGCCATTATTGTCTATTGTTTCCCTTGAGAGATCTTGGAGAAGTATCAGACTT